GAAGGTAATTTATTAAAATGAGTCCGAAAAAAAATTTTCCTTAATAATTAAATTGTTTTCTTTTTAAGTTTCTTTCTCAAACAGCAATAATTGAGCAATATGTTTTGCTATTGGACATAACCATGTCTTAATTACTTTGTATACATTAATCAATGTTGAACTGTTAATTCAGTATAAGATTCAACAACATACAGAATAATTTACAATTCTCTCTCATATCAAAATACGATTTAATCTCTTTGGCTTGTCAATTCATTTTTGTATAAGTATAATTGTAAATTATTATTTTTAATTTGCAGTTAAATATCATTAAACATTTTTATTGTCCAAATTTCATACTCTTCTTTTTCTCTTTCAGAGACAGTTATCTATGGAAATCTAGCTCTACTAAAGTTGTTTAAAGTGGCAAAGTAACAACTAGATAATATAAAACTTGTAAGATTGACCAAACTACGGAGCAAGCAGTTAGCCTCTCTTTGAACTCCTATAATGTGTATAATATATACAAATACTCAAGAGTAAATTAGACCTTGAACAGGAATAAATATCCTTTGCAAAGTTTTCTGATGTATGTAATATAACTTTAGGCATCTGATTTTTTGTTTTAATGTGGACTTTTTTAAAAGTGCTTTTAACGTTATCAGGTGAATTTAGATTAGTGTACTTTCAACTATTAACCACAGTATGCCTGCATTATTGATAAGAATGGTATCTTTACTAGTAAACATTATCTGGATATCTTATACAATGCTGTACCAAGAGCCACCCGGGTCCTCTACGTGGCTCTGGGACATAACTTTGTTTAAGTGATTGCATTGTTTCACTTTCCCAAAGTGGTAAACTTCTAGCAACTGCTTTGGATTGAGTGCATATGCAAAAACGTGTGATGCAATCTGGAGCAATGATTATAATGTGAATCATAATTTCAGATTAATTAATGAAGCCCTTATACATAATATTTAGGGTGTTCTAGGCACATTGTACTGTACATGTTGAGGCCTCACTAATCTGAAAGCTTATGAGAAGACACAGTATTATCAGGGAAGGAATTGCCCTGTGTGAACCACCTTTCTCTCCAGTAGGGAAGCAGAAAAATAAACAGCTTAGTTCTTCTCTTCCTTTAGGGAGAAAATGTGGAAGGGGGGTGGAGGAGGAGGCAGAATGTACAGTAGGCATCTCCTTCGTATTGTACTCCAAAAGAACCTAAGCTCTTTGAAGGGGCCCTAACAAGACCTATCAATTGCCATTCCTTTTTCCACAATGTACCACTGGGCCAGTCAGCCTTCAGGTTTATCTTGATATGCATCTGGTAGACAGGCTCTGCTTCTCCAGAAATAAGGGATTCTCGTGGCTTTATTGTTCATATTTGTGCTCTTTGTTCCTCTTTGGCAGTTTTATATATGCCACGATTTCCCAGCTGTTGCTCACACTGTGAAATGTGGAGACGTTCCTGGGAATTTTGTGAATCAGGACTGCGATGGCATTGCTGATTGCTATGGAGCAGGCACTATGAGAGAATTAAGTAAATTAGTCCCAATTATTTCAGGAAGAAAACTGAAGTATTTAGGGATGCCACATTTCTGTCTGGATATCTGTGTGCACAATTCCAATGAGAATTGAACTGCAGACACTGGGAGGCAGCTGCCTGAACAGAACATTAGAGGGATTAAAAATTGAGGGCCTCATTCTCCATTCAGTTACAGCAGTTTTACATTGCTGAAACACGATTCGTTTTGGTGGAGTTACACTTGTGTAAAACTGGGGAAATGGAGTGGAGAATCAAGCCCTGTCCAGATAACTTAATCCGACTAAAAAGGGCATGATACTACCATCATCAAGATATTGTGACAGTTCAGGATCTTATATTTCAGATTTTTGTTCTTGGTGGTCTCTTTGGCTACAAGTAGTAATGGCCTGCATAGTATCAGTCAAAGTTATGTTGTCTGAGTCCAATTTGGCCATGGAATAAAGAATTTTTTTTGCTGTTTTTTGTTTTTATTGAAGGAATACAATAGTAGTTAAATATATCTTAATATTTTTTCCAAAGAAATTGGGAGCTCCTGCTTCATACGTTAAGATAATTTGGGGCTGATGGTGGCCCAGGGTAAAAAGAGGAGATTACTACTGAGAAGAGAGGAAAACAGAGGCATGAGATAATTGGGAGAAACTCCTACTTGTTTTGCCCATTGATGGAAGAGTTTGCAGATGAAAGCTGATGATAATCCTTTGGGTCCTGTTAGGCGGTTGGAAGAGGTCACCATTTCTACAGCTAGTCACTACTGACCCAGTCAATGACCACCTTGAAGGGACAGAAGAATGTCTTCTGCCAAAGCAGAAGTTACTTGTGGCAGACTAGAACAGCTGAGCAGCTGTGTGAGAAGCTTCTCTTGCTCTAAAATGAGCTGCCCAGTTTGTAAAATGCCTAGCACAGAAGTGAACAAACTACGACCCATGGGCCACATCTGGTGCACGGGACCCCCCTGGCCGGTCCCTGAGCTCCTGGGCCCAGGAGGCTAGCTCCCAACACCCTCCCACCCCCGTGCTGTTCCCCTTCCCCCGCAGCCTCAGCTCATTGTGCCGCCGGCGCAATGCTCTGGGTGACGGGGATGCGAGCTCTTGCCAGGCAGCGCAGCTGCCCAGTGCTCTGGGCTGCACAGTGGCATGGCTGTCTCAGTGCTCTGGGCTGCACAGTGGCATGGCTGTCTCAGTGCTCTGGCTATCTCAGTGCTCTGGGCTGCCCAGTGGCATGGCTGTCTCAGTGCTCTGGGCTGCCCAGTGGCATGGCTGTCTCAGTGCTCTGGGCTGCCCAGTGGCATGGCTGTCTCAGTGCTCTGGGCTGCCCAGTGGCATGGCTGTCTCAGTGCTCTGGGCTGCCCAGTGGCATGGCTGTCTCAGTGCTCTGGGCGGCGTGGCTGTAGCACCGCCAGCCCCTGGTGCTCCAGGCAGCGCGGTAAGGGGGCAGGGAGTGGGGCGGGGGGGTTGGATAGAGGGCAGGGGAGTTTGGGGTGGTGGTCAGGGGGCAGGGAACAGGGGGGGTGAATGGGACAGGGGTCCCAGGGGGGAAGTCTGGAATGAGAGGAGGAGTTGGATGGAGCGGCGGGGGACAATCAGGGGCAGGGGGCCCGGTGGCAGTCAGGGGACAGCGACAGGTCGATGGGGCAGGGGTTCCCAGGGGGCTGTTAGGGGACAGGGAACAGGGGGCAGGTGTGTGGATGGAGCAGGAGTCCCACTGGGGCCATCAGGGGGCAAGAAGCGGGGGAGGGGTTGGATGGGGGTGAGGGCTGGGCCACACCTGGCTGTTTGGGGAGGCACAGCCTCCCCTATCCAGCCCTCCATACAATTTCGGAAACCTAATGTGGGCCTCAGGCCAAAAAGTTTGCCCACCCCTAGCCTAGCACAATGAGTTCCTGTATTAACAGAGTGATCATATTCTTGAAACACATCATACTCCTTAGTTTGAGGTGTGTGTACATAGTATTATATTACTATGCAGGTTATATTTTAATACTGCATTTGAGTGCTCTATAAATATGTTTTAAATGACTGGTTGGACTAAATTGTTTATTTTTTAAAAAGTAACTTTAATGCAGATAATAAGGTGACAGCCTGGAGTCCCAAATCAGCAAAGCATTGAATTACATGAGTAATTTTAACCACATGAGTAGTCCCTGAACTCAAAAGGGCTACTCATCTGTTTAAATGCTTTGCTGGATTAGGGCCATAGTAGCAGTCTTCTTTTTATTCAAAGAGCACTGCAACATGGCGTGTCAACGTAGGGTTGCCAATTTTGGTTGGCAGTATTCCTGAAGGTTTCATCATGAAACATAATTTTTAATTAAAGATTGATCTTTAATTCCTGGAGGCTCCAGGACAATCTTGGAGGGCTGGCAACCCTGCTTCAGCAAGGCGAGGGTTAAGGAGCTTCTCTGGATTCAGGAAGCCACCCCCATTGCCTCTGCTGGGCATGCTCCCAATGGCTGGAGCATTCAAAAGAGAGCAGTGCAACTCAGTTTGAGCTGACTGTGGAGAACAGCAGTTGGGTGCAGCAGCCTCCCACCAGGAAGTCACCTGGCCTCCAAGCTACTACCGGGATTGAGCATCATAGCCAAGCCACTGGAAGCCTGTTGACTATGGTAGCTGAAGGTGAGGACTCACCATTGCCACCATAGGAGATTCAAGACATGGATCAGAGGTGAACACAGTAGGGACATTGGAGGGACTGGAACAAGGGGTAGGGAAGTGACCCAGGGAGCATACTTATGCATATCAGGCCATAGTCCATGTATAAGGACTACTGCTTTGAAGGGCCCTGGATCAGAACCTGGTGGGGTAGTGTGGGCCTGGGTTTCCTACCTCCCCATCACTCCCACCAGAGGGTGACACTACCCCAAATTATAGCCAATAGGCAAGGCAAACTTTGGACTCTCGCCAGTGGTCCTAAACTGTAGCTGCCAGGGAAATCGCCCCTTGGAATCTTGCCATGAGGTGTTACACTTTGGAGTACTGCTATCCCAGAGCACACCATCAAACCCGCAACAAGCAAGTACAACATAGACAATGTCAGTGCATGCTTCCTGATTCCAACATGAGCCTCTGCCTGATTTGGGGACCACCACTTAAGATTGTAATATAGTTTTTGTTATCCATTGGTCATTCAGTTCTTGGGTTGCTGAGGCTGCCAATTCATGTGAACTTTACAGTGATTTCTGTTAAGTGGATACCAGTTCATTAAGAATTGAGCTGAGAATGTGACTACCAACTCCTTCCATCCAGGTCAATAAACAGTGGTATTATCTTTCAGTCATGGCAGACGATGGTTCAAATCCTGCAAGCATATTGGAGTTAAATTTGAGTGAAAGGAACTACTTGCGTAAGGTTAAGTAAATGCAAATGTGTTTGCAGAATTGGGGCCTTGATCTGTTTTCAAACCAGTGACCTACAGATGGAAAACTATGAATGAATCACTATAAGTAAGGGAAATTAGAAAACTTGATAGTTACCTTGATCTTGTGCTTTAAGTACTGGGACATAGTCAGGCTTAACACAAATAACTTGGGTGAATTCTTCTTTGTAGTCATTCTTCGTAAGTAAATAGGCTTCTTCTGTGTCAGTCTGTGAGTAGGGATTTGAACTTGGAACAACTTCTATTAGTTCATTATTAATATGGAATTCCGTGCATGAAATTGGTTTCCTAAAATCCAGAAAGTGAGTTTTTTTCAATGCATTCTGATGCTCTTTGCAAAAACACTCTATGTAATATAAAGTTATTGCATATTGTCATGATTCCTCAATCTATTAAACCCATTTATCAATAACTTATCTTTTTATAACCCTACCCCTTTTAACATTGAAAATGATTGTCTGACAAAGACTGGCAATGATACAGTGCACTTATATTATGATTAGACACAATCTAATTATGCCTGGTCTGTGACCAAAAATATACAGGAAGGCTAAATTCAGATTTGGTGACTGTGTCCAGTTCTGAGTGCCATGTTTTAAGAAAGGTGTGGACAAACTGGAGGGATTCCAGAGGACATCAACAAAAATGATAAGATTAGAAAACCTGACCTGTGAGATTAAAATAATGGAGCATGTGTAGTCTTGAAAAAAGCAGACTGAGGGGGGACCTGATAACAGTCTTCCAATACTTTAAGGGCTGTTATAAAGAGGACGGTGATCAATTGTTCTCCATGTCCACTGAAGGTAGAACAAGGAATAATCAGCTTAGTCAACAGCAAGGGAGATTTAGGTTAGATAGTAGAAAAAGGTTTCTAACTATAAGGGTAGTTAAATACTGGAATAGGAAGGTTGTGAAATTCCCATCACTGGAGAATTTTAAGAACAGGTTAAAGGAATACCCATTAGGGATAGTCTAGGTTTACTTGGCCCTGCCTCAGTGAAGGGGATGACCTCTTGAGGTCCCTTCCAGTCCTACATTTTCTATGATTCCATAAATCGGTGCATTGAACTGAGTTACATCTATCTGTACTTACAACAGGTCTGAATTTGGTTCAAGAATGGAAATGTTCACGAAACCTCTATCACTGAATTTCAGTGCATGGTACCTCAGATTTAGCTAGAAATATAAGAAAGAAGCTAGAAAGAAGCTATATACTTTTACTATATACTTTTATATCTTTGAATTTTCTATACTACAGAAAATAACACATATTACTAACACACTACCAGGCAATTTGGTGTCCCAAGTAATGGCAATGCAATGATGCTAGGGCCAAGTTCAGACCTAATATAAACAGGTGCAATACCATGGACCTCAGCACAGTTGCACCAAGTGCTCAATTTCACCTTAAATTTACATGCAAATATGATTAGGGGCTTTTGCCAAGATTAAATCCTATATGAAACAAATTGGAAATCTTAAATTATATTAGGAGCCTAAGTCTCATTGGAAGTCAATGGGACTTAGGCACCACAGTAACTCAGATATTTTTGAAAATTTTACCCAAAAAATAATTTTTAGTTAGTCACAAATGAAAAATATTTACTCAAGTGTTTTGTTCTCATTTATTGATACTTCTAAACCCATTCCAGCATGTCTTTACTAATCATTAATTACAAATTTCCCAAATAGTATCAGCAGAATCCATAATACATTTTAGTTCATGCAGCAATTAAATATGGTGCCTTTGAAATTCCTAAGATAGAGAAGTATCTTAACAATTTAATATTTTACTATCTATTTGAAATTGCAAACAGTAATTCAATTTCATTTACACTAGTGCAACCTCGCTTCTGGATGTAGTAATTTAAGATCTTTTATTTTAAATTAAAAAGAATTCAAATCAGATTAAGGGTCTCAAATTGGGCACCCAGAAAACAAGGAACAGAAGTGTTAACTACCTATGAAAAGTGTAGTTTAATGACTTGCCTAGCATCAAACAGGAACTCGGTGGCAGAGGCAGAAATAGAATCCATTTCCTCAGGATATCATTCAACTACCTTAACCATGACACTGTCCTTTCTCTTCCTGAAATCCCATCCCTCATTCACTCACACCTTCCAACTTCAGCAACAAATTAGGCAAGGGTTATATAGACAACATCCTCCTGCACTACATAATCCTGATTCCTTCCCAGAATAGATCCATCCTGTGCACTCAGTGGGGTAGGGGTTCTGAGGAAAAATAGTATGGGATTATGTAATTAAAGACAATACATCTGCACAAGGAGGCCAAATTAAGATTGTATAGGCAACCTTAAACCTGGTATTTCCTAACTTTTGAGTGCTTGACTTTGCAAGCTTAATGTTTAAATATAGGTTTTGTGTGTAATTTCCAAGTGTTTGTTAAAAATCAAACTGAAAAAACAAAAATTCCATCATGTGGCACCCTAGTGACACCTTTGCAGTTCATCAGCAGGGTTGGAACTTTTAGATTCACTGCACAGACCACTGCCACTTGAACTAATAAAGTAACTCATAGCAGTAGTGAGTTGCCATCCTTCTGTAGACCAGCACTAGAGGATGAAGAGATACAGAGTTTGACAGTGGGTTTCGCAGATATTTACTGGCAACAAAGGAATGGTGAGGAAAAGAAATCCTGAGTTCCATTCCAGGCTCTGGAGGGGACTGTTCTCTTGTGGACACAGACCTTCTGCCTGTTTTCCCCAAGCTTGACTCCTGCCCCACTGAAACCTGTCCCTGTCAAAGTAGTCTCTTCCCCAGCCTTGGTTCCTCCTCCCATCCCATTTTCCTTGCTGATCCAGTCCCAGTATCTACTTCTCAGGCTTCACATCCCAATCCTCTAGCCCAGTCAGTCCTAGTTTCCTCCTCCAGACCTTCCACCCAGTCTATCCCCACAAATTCTCAGTCCCCGTTCCCTGCTCAGCCAGCCCCATTTCTTCCCTCTTGTCTGATGTTACTTCCCTCCCCTCACCAGTTCTCAATCTCACTAGCCCTGGTCTACACTAGGACTTTAGGTCGAATTTAGCAGCGTTAAATCGATGTAAACCTGCACCCGTCCACACAATGAAGCCCTTTATTTCGACTTAAAGGGCTCTTAAAATCGATTTCCTTACTCCACCCCTGACAAGTGGATTAGCGCTTAAATCGACGTTGCCGGCTCGAATTTGGGGTACTGTGGATACAATTCGATGGTATTGGCCTCCGGGAGCTATCCCAGAGTGCTCCATTATGACCGCTCTGGACAGCACTCTCAACTCAGATGCACTGGCCAGGTAGACAGGAAAAGAACTGCGAACTTTTGAATCTCATTTCCTGTTTGGCCAGCGTGGCAAGCTGCAGGTGACCATGCAGAGCTCATCAGCACAGGTGACCATGATGGAGTCCCAGAATCGCAAAAGAGCTCCAGCATGGACCGAACGGGAGGTACAGGATCTGATCGCTGTTTGGGGAGAGGAATCCGTGCTATCAGAACTCCGTTCCAGTTTTCAAAATGCCAAAACCTTTGTCAAAATCTCCCAGGGCATGAAGGACAGAGGCCATAACAGGGACCCGAAGCAGTGCTGCGTAAAACTGAAGGAGCTGAGGCAAGCCTACCAGAAAACCAGAGAGGCGAACAGCCGCTCTGGGTCAGAGCCCCAAACATGCCGCTTCTATGATGAGCTGTATGCCATTTTAGGGGGTTCAGCCACCACTACCCCAGCCGTGTTGTTTGACTCCTTCAATGGAGATGGAGGCAATACGGAAGCAGGTTTTGGGGACGAAGAAGATGATGATGATGAGGAGGTTGTAGATAGCTCACAGCAAGCAAGCGGAGAAACCGGTTTTCCCGACAGCCAGGAACTGTTTCTCACCCTAGACCTGGAGCCAGTACCCCCCGAACGCACCCAAGGCTGCCTCCTGGACCCAGCAGGCGGAGAAGGGACCTCTGGTGAGTGTACCTTTTAAAATACTATACATGGTTTAAAGGCAAGCATGTGAAAGGATTACTTTGCCCTGGCATTTGCGGTTCTCCTAGATGTACTCCTAAAGCCTTTGCAAAAGGTTTCTGGGGAGGGCAGCCTTATTTCGTCCTTCATGGTAGGACACTTTACCACTCCAGGCCAGTAACACGTACTCGGGAATCATTGTAGAACAAAGCATTGCAGTGTATGTTTGCTGGCGTTCAAACAACATCCGTTCTTTATCTCTCTGTGTTATCCTCAGGAGAGTGAGATATAATTCATGGTCGCCTGGTTGAAATAGAGTGCTTTTCTTCAGGGGACACTCAGAGGAGCCCATTCCTGCTGGGCTGTTTGCCTGTGGCTAAACAGAAATGTTCCCCACTGTTAGCCACAGGGAGGGGGGAAGGTTGAGGGGGTAGTCACGCGGTGGGAGGAGGCAAAATGCGACCTTGTAACGAAAGCACATGTGCTATGTATGTAATGTTAACAGCAAGGTTTACCCTGAAAGAGTGTAGCCACTGTTTTATAAAATGTGTCTTTTTAAATACCGCTGTCCCTTTTTTTTTTCTCCACCAGCTGCATGTGTTTCAATGATCACAGGATCTTCTCCTTCCCAGAGGCTAGTGAAGCTTAGAAAGAAAAAAAAAAAAAACGCACTCGCGATGAAATGTTCTCCGAGCTCATGCTGTCCTCCCACACTGACAGAGCACAGACGAATGCGTGGAGGCAAATAATGTCAGAGTGCAGGAAAACACAAAATGACCAGGAGGAGAGGTGGTGGGCTGAAGAGAGTAAGTGGCGGGCTGAAGAGAGGGCTGAAGCTCAAATGTGGTGGCAGCGTGATGAGAGGAGGCAGGATTCAATGCTGAGGCTGCTGCAGGACCAAACCAGTATGCTCCAGTGTATGGTTGAGCTGCAGCAAAGGCAGCTGGAGCACAGACTGCCACTGCAGCCCCTCTGTAACCAACCGCCCTCCTCCCCAAGTTCCATAGCCTCCACACCCAGACGCCCAAGAATGCGGTGGGGGGGCCTCCGGCCAACCAGCCACTCCACCACAGAGGAGTGCCCAAAAAAAAGAAGGCTGTCATTCAATAAATTTTAAAGTTGTAAACTTTTAAAGTGCTGTGCTTAAAGTGCTCTGTGGCATTTTCCTTCCCTCCTCCACCACCCCTCCTGGGCTACCTTGATAGTCATCCCCCTATTTGTGTGATGAATGAATAAAGAATGCATGAATGTGAAGCAACAATGACTTTATTGCCTCTGCAAGCGGTGATTGAAGGGAGGAGGGGAGGGTGGTTAGCTTACAGAGAAGTAGAGTGAACCA